CGTACTTGCGATTGTGGCAGTTTGACTCTCCGTCTCTCGCTCTCAACCTGCTCATGAACAGAGCCGGCCTGCAGTCGGGAGAAGTTCGCCACATTCTTCACCATGTCATCGAACTTAGTGAGCACAATCTTCATCCACAAGCTATCGCCAAAGCCCATCACAGACGCATTGAACAGCAGCATCTCGTTGAAATTGGTGGGTATCTTCATTTTTTGCCTTCGGTCGCCATCTACTGACGGCTCCTGCTTGCGAGAACTCGGGGGCAGATCTTTCTCGGCCATGGCCGTGTCTGTCTCCGGCTCGAGCTTTTCATCCATCTCATCCTTCGGCTCTGTCTGCTCCTTCTCCTCTTGCGCCTCCGCCTCCGCCTCCGCCTCCGCCTCCGCCTCCAGCTCCAGCTTCTCGCCCTTGGAATTCGCTGCGGCCCAGCTGCTGAGAATGGTCCGAATGCGCCCGGCGTACTCCTAGGCAGTTGACGCCACAAAAGGATCGGCGGGCTTGGCTGAACCGGTTTCTTGGCCCCAACTTGCCGGAAACGTGACAAGATAAAAACCGGACTACATTCAATGTTGTCAAAACAGCTGCAGGGACCAACGAAACACTCGTTTGAAACGAAGTGCGTCAAGTACTGTGGATGGATGAAATCTCCACCAGGAAACCGTGCAATACCATTGCTCAATGCTATTTCCAGGGGGATCGACTCATCCCAGGCTTTCTGAGCGATGCTTTTCGTGGATTTCGACTTCGCAGCCATCCACACTACGAAACCCTTGGGAAAACGCCCCAGTCCCGGCGGATGAACATGATGGCGCCGCCCATGTAGTTCACCAGGGCGTGGAACCCCACCCGGGCCGCGGGCGAAAACTCCTCCAGCGCGTCGTCCAGCACCTCGCAACGGCGCTAAAGGCACCCGGACCCGGCGTGGGATTCGGGGGAAGAAAAGGGAAACTCGGCTTTGGGCCGATGACGTTGCCCTTCCAAAAAACATCATGGTGGGAACCCAAGACCCCTTTGAGAGAGCCAAAACATGAGTTCCCCAATCGGAACTCGGTGGCTTGAAACCTCCTGCTACCCTCCCACCAGCATGGTTTGGTGCACAGACCCCTTGGAAAAAAAGGGAAACTCGGCAAGGGCACTCTAGCCATTCACAGCGCTAGGGAACGGATGTTAACATCATGCAATTACCGCAACCCGTGACATACAAAAACACTTGGCAAACTCGGTGGCTTTCTGCTCCCCTACTAAAAGTGAATAACTTCCAGTAGTGATGGATTTCCTTTGAAGCCAACAAGAGAAAAACACAACATATTCTTGGTGGCTTTCTGCTCCCCTCTAAAAGTGAATAACTTTTAGTGGCTTAATGCGGAAAACCCATTAGTTGGCAAAAAGTTTGAGTCCTAACAGCAAAATGCACCAAAGGAAAAGCAGGCCATACCAGGGTCGCGGGATCACTTGGGTGTTTTTATCCCCACTTCTGTGATACAAGGCAATCTCCCATTTTTTTTGCGGAGGGTCGGTCTTTTGGGAAGCCCGTTTTGTCCGTTTTGTTGTATCACAGAAGTGGCCATTCTCCCACAGCCGCGAACCGTACCCACTGATCTGAACGGCTAAGCGAGCCCGGAACTGAGGAGAATGTACCATATGCACCCGGACCAAGCCTGGGATCACTGCCACCAATCTTGCCACCCTTTTTCCTCCAGAAAAACCCAAAAGGCACTCTTGTGACCTTCCCGATTAAAGAACGGCACTCCATTCCTGATACATGACACAGTGTGCCACCGCATCCTGGGTTCCTTGCGTTTGACATGTCGCTCTCTTCCTCCCTTAGCTTACGCGAACCAGGAGCTCGTCAATATGGAAAAGACAAGTACGAGTGGTCCTTTGACAATGTCGCGCCTACGTGCTCACTGGCCATAGGCAAGAAGCGCCCGCCTTTTTCTGTTTTCTTGCCTACGCCGCCAACCAACCAACCAAAAAACAAAAAACGGCGCGCCACCGAACCCCCGCCAAATTCTCTCTCGCGCCGGGAAAAAACTTGGGGCCTCCAGCATGGCTTCCCGGAAGAAGGCGACCTTCACGCTGCTCACCTCGATCTCCAGGTGCTTGAAGGCCAGGGCCTGGCAGGCTGAAGGTTTTTCACTCACATTTCTGACTGTTCCCCGCACAAAAACCAACAATGGATTCAGCCATGCATGGTTTCCCAGGATTTCGTCCACACGCAGTATGCCCCAAAAAACTGAACATAGCATCGGACATGGCCTCTGTGAGGGGGGAACCCATGTCCAATCAAATGTCCGGTCGAGGGCTGCGAGGATAAAAGGGTGCCGAAATAGCGCAGTTTCAGTCTGCCCCAAAACGGCAGCGACACGGTCTCGCCTCGATCTCTTTCTTCAGCGCGGAAGCATTGCCCAGAAGCGCCACGATTTGGCCCAAGGCTGTCATGAAGCGCATAGAAATGATCGCCTGCAAACAGCTTCTGGGATTCTCAGACTGGTCGGCC